TGTATCGTCATATGTATCGTATCGTCTCCCCTGTATCGTCATATGTATCGTATTGTCTCCCCTGTATCGTCATATGTATCGTATCGTCTCCCCTGTATCGTCATATGTATCGTATCTTCTCTCCTTTATGGTCATATGTATCGTATCGTCTCCCCTGTATCATCATATGTATCGTATCGTCTCCCCTGTATCGTCATATGTATCGTATCGTCTCCCCTGTATCGTCATATGTATCGTATTGTCTCCCCTGTATCGTTATATGTATCGTATCATCTCCCCTGTATCGTTATATGTATCGTATCGTCTCTCCTTTATGGTCATATGTATCGTACCGTCTCTCCTTTATGGTCATATGTATCGTATCGTCTTCCCTGTATCATCATATGTATCGTATTGTCTCCCCTGTATCGTCATATGTATCGTATCGTCTCCCCTGTATCGTCATATGTATCGTATCGTCTCCCCTGTATCGTTATATGTATCGTATCGTCTCCCCTGTATCGTCATATGTATCGTATCGTCTCCCCCTGTATCGTCATATGTATCGTATCGTCTCCCCTGTATCGTCATATGTATCGTATCGTCTCCCCTGTATCGTCATATGTATCGTATCGTCTCCCCTGTATCGTCATATGTATCGTATCGTCTCCCCTGTATCGTCATATGTATCGTATCGTCTCCCCTGTATCGTCATATGTATCGTATCGTCTCCCCCTGTATCGTCATATGTATCGTATCGTCTCCCCTGTATCGTCATATGTATCGTATCGTCTCCCCCTGTATCGTTATATGTATCGTATCGTCTCCCCTGTATCGTCATATGTATCGTATCGTCTCCCCTGTATGGTCATATGTATCATATTGTCTCCCCTGTATCGTCATATGTATCATATCGTCTCCCCTGTATGGTCATATGTATCGTATTGTCTCCCCTGTATCGTCATGTGTATCGTATTGTCTCCCCTGTAGTGTGATATATTTCTTTTTGTCTCCCCTTTATTTTACTAAATGTTGCATTGTCTCTCCTGTATTGTGATAAATACTGTATTGTCTGTTCTGGATTTTAAAAGTTCTGAACTGTCTTTTTATATCTAGTTATCCTCAAGTTGCAACAGAACTGTGTTTCTCCTAAAACGCTTTTAAATAAGAAAAGTGTGACCCAGAAACTTGGCTAATAATAAAAGAAGGCAGAAGTGCAAGCATATGTGACGAAGGAAAGCAGATTGAGGCTGAGTCGTTCTTCGGGCTGGTCTGGTCCTGAGGCTGAGTCAGAGAGTGGGTGTCCAGCGGTCAGGAGAGCCACTGGGGGTTGTTCTAAAGCGCGTGTGTGTCCATGCATAAATCTGCACATCCTGATCTTGTAACTCCTCCAAATGTATTCAGTAAAATGCATCACTCTGCTAGAGGCTATGATTTTTTATGATTCCCTGCCAGTGTGCGTGTTTTTATATTAAATTCTACGTAAGCTGGAGCCGGAGTTACCGCTGAGCAATTCGCCCACCACCAAGCTTTTCTTCCTCTCTGCTCCCCCCATTTCTCAGCCCCCACAATAATTTTATTCCCTTTCCTCTCCGTCTAGCTCTGCCTTATGTGTCCGTCTCCTTCCTGTCCACATGTCTTTGTTTCTTTATCATTTATCGTTATATTAGTCTCCATCATTCCAGCCTTTCCCTGCCTATCGCTTTGAATATTCCCATCTTTTTACATTTCCTCCCTGTATTTATGCACATTGCTTATGGCTCAAACACTTTTTCGTTCTGTCTGCTTGTCTCAGTTTCAATCCTAGACAGGTCACACTCTCTTAGCGCTTGTCACAGACGGCTTACAGCGCCCAGAAACAAGCATGCTAAATGATTCCCAGCAAGAGGCTTTTGTTTGAGATGGGGATGGAAAAAGACAAAGGAAAATAGAGGGTTTATGTAACCACTCAGCTGCACAATTGACTCGCTAGCTGACATGCTCTCTCCTTAGGTAAACACGGGACTTTCATTTCTCACAAGACCTCCACTGACCTTGTGGATTTTGCTCAGAAGAAGAAAAGGGAAGGTCATGTGGTTTATGCACACTTACTCCTCTTGTTTCAGACACTGCCGCATTTAAAGATTGAGGCCCTGTCCACAAGTAGCCGTTTTTTTTTAAAAACGAATATCCGCCCCTCCAAAAACTTGCATCCACACCACCTCGTTTTAAAAACAAACTCTGTCCACACGTACCCGGATAAATACGTTGTTAAGGACATGCCAGACCTGTAGGCGGCAGCACTTCCCCCGTTCTTAACTTCGTCCTTCGTCTGTGGTCTTCCGCAAGGAGCAGTAATTCAGCTTGCAAAAACAAACAAGCAGAAAGCGCTTGGACAATTGATGGATCGGGTAGTGACAGAGCGCAGCTCTGAGGGCATCCATGCTGTCGGCTAGTGTAAACACAGGTCGCACACGTGATGTCAGCATTTTTTTGTTGCGGAAAGTGATGTTGCGGACCTTCAAACTCCGGTTTTGTCTGTCCACACGCAGACACCCAAAACGGAGAAAACGCAGATCTTCACTCTGGCCGGAGTTTTTACAAAGATCCGTTTTCGTGTGAAAAACTCCGTTTTCGTGTGGATGACAGGCCAAAACGTAGAAAAATATCTACGTTTTGGCAGATCCCTGGCTACGTGTGGACAGGGCCTCAGACTAACACCAATGATGAATGTGCAATTATTTTATACATTCCTTTTTTAAATGAATCTGCATGCCCCTCCGCGTGTGACTCATTAGCACCATTTTCCTTTAAGATAACGTGAGGTCAGAGAAAAGTGTGCAGGATTAGCTCAGCTGATGAAAGAAACAATTAATCTTGTAAAGACATTGACAAATGAATGGTGTACTAAGGTCAGAAATGGGGCTAATACCACTACAGAGGTTGGGCTAAGTCCAGCCACAACATTTATGGTAATTACGTTATCATAACCACTAAATGAGATCTGTAAACACCAAGATCAGGCAACACTGGTTCCATGGAAGTTCATAAATCTGTACCATATGTTTTAATCTAGAACAAATATGCCTCTTTTTTGCCTTGAAGAAACTCAAAGAATGATTTACGACAACATCTGATTTCCCTTTGGACTTGATGAAAGTATATTTGGATTCAATTAGGCCATTTTTGCATTTGCATCTCTATATTTTCCTTAATTTCTCAGACAAAATACCATTATATTTAAAGGTGTTCTGACCTTTGAGCCTCTGTAAAGCATAAGAAACTATAGTAGACCTTAAAATGTCCCAGCAGCGCAAGAACGAAGGAGGAAATGAATGTCATGGAGGTCTAAGTTCCCCCTTTGGCAAGCGCACATGAACGAGTGTGTGCGGCAATGTCCGACTGCTTGTAGAAGGGTTGCAGACAAACAAGGAAGTTAAGTACCAGACTGGACCAGTACATTCTGGAACCTGAGCGGTGAGTGCTTGTCTTTCTCCCTTTCAACAAGGCTGTTGCCAATAGTTGAAGCCGGCGGCTGAAGCTAGCAGCTCAAGCTAATGTTAACAGAGACTTGGCTTGCCGTGATTCTGCGGAAGCGTTAAGCCGGGCGTACACTGTGCGACTTTTTCACTCGCAGCGTTCAGCTTCAGCTCAAACTGTACGACTTCCTCGCAGAGCAGATCTCACGAGTCATGTGCTCACACTGTACGACCCAGTTCTCGCATGCGACCTGACTGCTCACACTGTACGTCTGGTAGCAACACGTCGGCCCTAAAAATATGCTAAAAATAGCCGTTTTTACACGACACGTCAGACTTTCTTGTCTTGCCTGTTGTCCTTCGGGAGTGCTGCAGGAGGACACACAGGGATTTATGGGGGTTGGATGAGTAAAACGAAATAAAGAAAGTAAATCTGTGTTTTGTGATCAGTTTAATTTGACATGAACACGACAAACACGCTTTCTTGACAATCTTTGTGAGTAAAAAAAAACGTGTAGAAACAAAAATGTACAACGTGTGTTATTAGGGAAATAGCGGGCGAGCGGTGTTGATGCAGGATTGCGCATGTGCTGTGAGCGGTTCTGGTACTTTTTGGGTCGCAGCTGCTCACAGCGCCGCTTCAACAGTGCGATACCCTCACGAGGGACGAGCAAAATATTAAACACGCCAGAAGTCCGTGCGACCTCACGACTGCTGATCGGTAGCTGGTCACGTGGTGTTAATCGCCTCTCGTAACCCCCTGTACACTACACGGCGCTCAGTGCAAAACTCGCCCCGATCTCGTGGATTCTCGCACGAGTGGAAAATCGGCTCAAAAAAGTGAAAAAGTCACACAGTGTACGCCCGGCTTTACTGCGACCAGCGTTTGAGTGCTGGTGCCGTTGAAGTGGGTTGCAACATGCAAATGTAAGCAGGAGTGACTATCATGTGACGTGTTATCAAGAAGTTTTTCAGGAAAAACATTCCTCCCTCACCTTTTCAAGATGACTTATTTGCATAGAAAGTTGGTCAGACGTGGCTCTGTGCTTTTGATGTGCTACATTTGACCACCTAAAACACCTCAGTTCAACAAAAACGTGGTAAACAAAGCTTAACATTCTACTGCCCCTTTAAAATAAATGAGACTGAATTAAAAATACCATTTTTTTTATCTTGCATCATTTTTCAGTATTGTTATTACTTAAAAATAAATATTCACTATGGATTCTTCAATATCAATACCAGCACAGTATTGATCTTACCAATGCTGTGTAATTGTACTAATACAAGTACTACAGTACCATCGGGTTGGTACCACTTAACTGGTATGACACCCAGTCCTCAGCTGAGTTGCAGCGGGAGATAACAGAAGTTAACTCTGCAGGAAACACTAGAGAAGATGAAGTTATCACAGCTGATGGCCGCTCACAAAGCAGTAGCACATTTTTTAGCCAAGTAGCATTTTCAAAATAAAAACCAATGTACAAACATGATTGTCCTTTCTACACCGATTTGTCCACAGATCGAGTTACTGTTGGTTTTCATCTACCAACAGTCACTCACCGATGTTGTGTATCTTGATGTTTGGCCTGACTGTGTAGTCGGGAGGAGTCTGACTGGAGTCGTCATCTGCCTGGGAGGCTGAGAGATCCAACATGAATCCACAAAGACGACACAGACGGAGAAGAGGGGAAGGGCAACAATTACGAGAAGAGACAGAGAGATGAGAGATAAATTAAATGACAAGATTGGCATTTCGGGCAGCAATAAATGGTTTAAATCTATTGTTGGAGCTAAGATTGTTTCAGAGAACAAGTGGTCTGTAAATCCAGACTGTGACCCGAGGATTAAAAGCATTTATTGCAGAGCTGGAGGACAGAACTCATTATTACATTCAGAGTTTGTCTAGACAAGGAATTACATTCAGACTGCAGAGCCAGCGGATCGTTTTATGGAGAAAACAGCGTGTGGGTTTGTTGTCGCGAATGGGTCATGTTTGTTATTGGTAACAATCATTATTAGTACTGAGTTGGACCTAAATAAATTAAATAATAAGAAAATAAACCAAAAATTATTAAATAAATAATTTAAATGTGAAATATATATTATATAAAATTCTAATAATCAAGTAGAAAACAAATTATTTAAAATTAAATATATTTTATGAAATCATCAATACAAATAAAAAAATCTCAATATTAAATTTTCTCAAATATATTTAAATGAAAGTAACAGATTAAAAAAATAATAAATAATGATTAGAAAAATTAATTAAGACAATTAAAAATCAATTAATTATAAAAATACTATTAATAATATAAAAATATGACATAGATTCAACAAGGTATTGGAAACATCCACCCATGATGTGATTCTTCCACTCCAACGTGCCCCAAAGGTTCTGGACTGAATTAAGATCTGGTGACTGTGGAGGTCGTCGAAGCCCAGCGAACCCATTAAAACCAGTTTCAGATGATTGGAGTTTTGCGACATGCTGCATTATTCTCCTGGAAGCAGCCATCAGAAGACGTGTCCACTGCGGTCATAAAGGAAGGGACAAATCTCAGTTTGAACTTCAGCGTGTCGCCTTCACCACATCTCCAGTTGCTGCCAAGCAACTGGCTGGTTAGATATTTGTATGACAAGCGATTAGCGTCCCTAATGAAGTGGCCGGTAAGTGTACAGCCGTGATAAGATTCTCTGGACAAGGCGTTGCAGTTAGAAGGTCATGAATATTCACAGCTCTGTCTTATCTGGGAGCCGTGTGAGTTCAGGGCTGAGGTGTGCAACCCTGAGAGGATGAAGGGCAGCTAAAGTCAATAGTTCCTTTGATGGGGCTCGCTGTAAAAATGACTAAAAGCAGCGCACCTATCAATACGTGCACATGCCCCAGACAGATTTACAGCCAACATGCGATCAGACAAACACGTGCAAAACACACACACACACACAGATGCCAGACGTGTCGATAGATCAGCATCGACACCGGGATGTGTAGAGGTGATCCGTACACGAGGGCCGACTCCGGCCCGAGTGTGGGATGTATTAGAGCTGACAAGGTTAGAGGATAGAGGAGGGTGGGGGGTGCTTTCAGCACCGTGCTGCCTGATCAAAGGCCAGCAGGAGGAGAAAGCAGGGTAAAAATAACAGGCTCACTATACATAGCAGCAGGCATTAGAGGGGAAGAGGAGGAGGAGGGTGGTCAAGAACGCTGAGGTAGAAACAGAGGAAGATGTTCTCTTCCATGCCAATCTCAGGAGAGCATTACTGTAATGCACGACTTTGAGTCACATCTGCATGAGTCAGAAAAGCCTCTCAGAGTTCATGATCTGCCTTTTTGTCTCCCATTCCTTGTGGGACATAAAGACGGTGGAGGTAGAGAGGTCTCACCAGTGGAGCAGCAGACGAAGACCCTCAGTCTCAGGCAGCTGTGGCCGTGGTGGCGGATGGGTGTGGCTAGGACAGAAAACACACACAGGCATTAACCTCGGCCCTCTGCAGGCTGCACCACCCCGTCTATCATCAGCTAAAGCATCTACAGCAGCCGCCCTCAGATGAACTCCCACAACCCATTAGTAACACATCATCAATACACGTGGGCGAAGAGACGCTTCACGTCTCACACAGAAATGCCTCGAGGCTTTTTCCGTCCATCACAACGGTTCACCGTCCTGACTCACAGATGTAGTAGTACTCCTGGCCCACGTTGAACTCGTAGCCCAGCGAGAAGGCGCTGTAACGCTGGAACTTCTCAGAAAACTTGATGGGCGCGTGGGGCGGGCGGGGCCGGTTGCACTCCCAGCGTTTGAAGCCCTGCTGAGGGTCGCAGGTGTAGTAGCCGCGGTAGTTGACCATGTAGAGGATGTACTGCTCGGCCACCACCCGCTCCAGAGTCCCGCCCTGGCTGGTGTTGTAGTGCGGGCAGTAGATGTCCAGGTAGTCGTTGACGCTGACCTGCACCGTGTACCCTTCCCTCCGGAGCCTGGAGTCACAAAAACACACAAGATGGATTTTTTAAAAACCTGCAGATGAGATTTTAATTTTTTTAAAGAAACATTTCGATAGCATCTGCAAATCCAAGATAACTTACAAAGTTCTTGCCATTTCCAAATAAATGTGACCATATCAAAGCCTGGATGCTACGCCTGCACACGTTTCCCACAATGCAATGCAGCAGGGAAGCACATAAAAAGAAGATTGTGGGCAGCTTTGCTGTAAAAATAACTTACGTGAATCTGCCAGACTTCTTTTAATCAGTTTTTTTTATTTGTCACATCAGTGCATCATTATGGTCAACGAGTTACCATGGTAACACAACTGGAGCTGGCAAAAATTAGGTAATGAGGACCAAAAGGTGTTGATGGGATATCTCCAGGTGCAAACCAAAGAATTGAAAGTCACTCAAAAGTAGGATCCAACCAAACGTTTGGGCTTTTTTCCTCATTGATTTCTGGTTGCTAGGCAACCTGACTCCAGAAAATAACTCCCCTCATATTGTTATTTTATGATTACACGTCACCAAACCTTATTTATGAGATTTCCTTCCTCAAAACGAAACTAAATCAGACTCTTAACACAAATGTCTTGAGGGAATTGCCGTGTAAAATATTTATTATTCAGCTGATTTCAGAGCTGCAGCAAACATAAAATCAGCTCAAATAGAATCTTTTATCCTTTTGTTTCTGTGAGAGTGAAACCATCTCATCGTACTCTGAATAAAAACAGGTTTTCCCTTTCTAATCCCTCAAGGCGAAGACTGAGCGCCACGCTGAGAATGATAATCTGAACTCCTGCCGGCCAGGTCGTTGAAGGAGATCCCGTGGATGCGTGATCCGGCTGCAGAGGAACCGGTCTGCATGCAGATCTTACCAAATCTCCTCTGAGAGCCATTAGCAACAGGTGAGGAGATCTTCTCTGTGGACAAGCATGTGTGCATGTGATGTACATGATGCCCCCCCCCCAAACTACTGGGAGGAGGATGATTGCAGCTGCCATGCTGTTACCTACACTGTTTATAATACTAAGCATACCGATTATGCAAATTACATAAGCTGTAATTAGACGAAGCAGAAGTCATTACAAAGGCTCCTGCAGGTGAGCTGATGAGACAGGATGGTCCTCTGCCTGCATCATCATGCTGTAATGACCAAGGCTCACCACCAGGTGGTGATATTGCACTAAATATGAGATTAAGTCCCAACTTTTCTGGCCTGTATCCTTTTTCTTTTACATTATCTGCTACATACAAGCAGAAGTCCACATGTTATAAATAAACACACACACACACACACACACACACACACACACACACACACACACACACACACACACACACCGGCACAAAAAGATGTTGCAGGGCTGAGACACATTTCTAGTTCAGGCCCCCCGGAGAGATGATTATTCAATTAAAAAAAGGAAGCCTGGAAATGTCAAAACACCTCTCCGTTTCTGTCTCTCTGCAGCGTTACAATTGCTTCTTTTTCTGGCTCTTCTCCTCCGCTCTGATTCTTTCTCCATGTGCAACCCTCCTTTTCATTCTCACACACACACACACACACACACACACACACACACACACACACACACCCACACACACACACACACACCCACACACACACACACACACACACACACACACACACACACACACACACACACACACACACACACACACACACACACACACACACACACACCGAGGCTGATGAATATCAGCTCTCTTAACCAGCGTTCTTTTTATGACCATCAATCTTATCTGTGCTCTCTATCCCTGCTGCTCGGATGCTAGATGACAGACTTTTGTCTTGCAGTGTTGCGGGAAGAGACAACACATCAATGCTTCAAAGAGGGACTATATTTAGCAGGGGGGGGAGTTGAGTTGGGCTGTGTGTAAAGTCAGAGAGAGTCAAGTGGTGTGTAAAGAGTGAGAGTCGTTCTCAGTGAGCGGTGTGCAAGAGGATCTGATCAGTAGCTAAAAGATAAGCCTGAAGAATGTTACAGGTACGGGCACCGAAGTGGACGGCAGCTCCGCAAATATTTTTACGGTTAATTAAACAGCTACAATCTAACAGCTTATGAGAAGCCAAAGTCAAAATCTCAATCAGAATATCGTGAAAAGGTTCAAAATTCCAGAAAAATTGTCACTCCCTAATCAGCTAATGAATCCAAAACCTGCCACGGGTTCCTGAGCCTTTAGATGGTCTCTCAGTCTCAGCTGAATTACTGAAATAAACAAGTTGTACCTGTACATCTACTACAAAGTGACCTTTAAGTCAACCTCACTCAAGATGGCCACCACCACCTACCAGCATTACCCACAAAAAACACCATCAAGTTTACAGATATTCCGCTAAACTCGGGTGTCATGATGGATTATAGCAATTCTCAACACACTAAAAGCATCAACTGTCATTTCAGAATGTGGTACTCTTTGCTTTGTTCAGATCAAGAGGACATTTTTTGAAAAGGTCACAATTGTTTGTTTACTGACATCAGACAAGCACAACCAAGCCTCTCTTCACACAGACAACCGATCCTAAAGGGAGCCTAAAGCCTCATTTCTACCGACCGTTTTGGCGTGGAACAGGGAAGGTCGGCTCGCTAACTTTTCTGTCCCCGTTGTAAAACCAGTCCAGACAACCTACTCGGACTCCGACAGTTACAAAACTTTTTTTGAACCTCTTCTGTTGTGGGTCCAGAAATTTCTGGAGCAGTTTGGTTAGGGCGGAGCAACAACACAGTCCACTGATAGGGGGACAGAAATGCGTCACTACTTGCAACAAGCAACACAAACGAAGTTCCGTTATTTGTATTTTCATTAGTTGAAGCAAGTCCTGGTCACCTTCAGAGCTCCATACATCCCTCACGGTCACTGTGAGAGTCCACACTCGTGAGGGTCTAGACGGATCGGGAATGAATGATAAATGATAAATGACCCGCACTTGTATAGCACCTCTCAGAGTAAGAACTCCAAAGCGCTTTACACTACAGTGTATCATTCATCCATTCACACACACATTCACACACTGATGATGATGAGCTACGATGTAGCCACAGCTGCCCTGGGGAGCACTAACGGAGGCGAGGCTGCCGAGTACAGGCGCCACCGGTCCCTCCGACCACCACCAGCAGGCAAGGTGGGTTAAGTGTCTTGCCCAAGGGCACAACAGCAGAATTCTCTGTCCGGAGCCGGGATCGAATCTGCAACCTTCCGATTACTGGACAACCCGCTCAACCTGTTGAGCTACTGCTGCCCCAAAGGGAAGGATGTTTTTATTCTCGGTGGATGGCAGCTGAAGGATCAAAGTCGATGTCAGAACGGTGTCGGGCCAAGCTGAAGAAATTATTGCTCAACAAAGGAAAGTTAAAGAGCAAGTCACCCCCAAATAAACTTTTTTTTGCTGATAAACTAAATAGACGAGTGTCTAATCGTGCTGCAGACACGTGTAGTCAATAATTTGGCATTTTAGTGCATTCTAGTTAAAAATTTTAATATTCTGCCTAAAACTGTCATTGTTGTGCCGTTGTCAGGTAAAAACTCTGCACTGTATTTGAATTTAAATCTGCCACCGCAATTGGCTAAGAGGTATGCTATGATGTAAACTGGTACATTATGATGTCACAAGGCCATTGTGAGCCTGTGTGTGTGTGTGTGTATTTGTTAGCGGCTTCGCCCTCTCGGTCTGCCAGGCAACAGCATTTGTTGCATTTTTCAAACATGAAGTGAGAGTGGAGTTAGACTCTGGTAGGGGGTGACTTGCTCTTTAAGGACAGAAACAGCCAGAGTGGATTGTTATTTTTGGGATTAAAAACCGGAGAAATACACGGAGGTGCTACGATTAGGTGGGTGCTATTTATAGCCACAGACCGGCAAACCGAGGCAGGACTCTGGAGCAACCGCACGCTGGAGCCACTTGTGGAGCCTGTGGTTAGCATTTGGTTTTGTCTTTAGCTCTGCAGACCATTACTGTAACATAAAAATACTGAATAGCTGTACAACAAAGTCATATCCATGTAGTGTTTTTGTTCTGCTCAGCAACTGAACCAAGTTCATTCACTGTGCTGATTGAAATCACCTGGTTTTGTTGCTGAGCAGAACAAAAACACGACATGGAGGTGACTTGTTGATGCCACATTTTCCCATCTCTGCATAGATCTGTGTGACTTTTTCTGATCCGAGCGTTTCCCCGTCTGTTTTCTATCGGCAGCTAATGCAGGAAATATTTTCACATTTAGCCCGCATGTTAACCGATCATATTTAAAAACGGTTTCTCTGTGAATTTGGTCTTTAAACCCGTACATGGGAAAGTGGTGGTTGATGTGGATCCCTACAAGTGACGCAAGACCTTCAATTAATTCTGTGCTAAATGAAGAAGCTCTTCAGCCAAAATGGCAACTCAGCAGGGGGACTATTTGTTCCAAACATAATCAACAACAGTGCAAGAAGAGAGTAAGATGGAGTGAGGTGAGACAGAGGAGAAAACAAGAGGAAATGAAAGGGTGATCAGGGTGGGTGGAGGAGAGGAACACAGGAGCCCCTCTAGGTGCACGCTGTTATATAAGAAGTCCACTTAGTGGAACGAGACAAAGAGGTTGCCAGGCTGAGAGGAACGCAGAAACGGCAGGAAAGTAAAGGAAGGAGAAGAGGCCGATTTAATAACTTAAGATAAGAGTAGAGGGGAGACATTGGCCTGAATGATGATGACAACAAAGAATCAGGCAAAGACACGGAGGCAGAGGCTCAGACGGAGCCATTATCCTCCCCTGGGATGGACATATATGTTGTTAAAGTGTATAAAAATGACCGATGGCTCTCTTTGGCGTGTTGCGTCTATTCCTGCGTTGCCTTCCCATTATCCCATTCACTTCATCTCTTCCTCCACTGCACTGTCTCTGTGGTGATTTTGCTGTCTCATCATCATTTCCCTGAGTAGGAGTGCACAGCTAGTTAGTAAGGGCTGCACAAGCTGGTGAGGACTGCCA